ATAGTATACCATGTGAGGACATGTCCTCTAATATATAACTTTACCATTATTGGTAGTATAGACGAGTAGTATGACAAGTGAGGACATGTATCAGCCATATTCATATCTGAGGACATGTCCTCTGTAGCCGAGCTTAGTAGAGACGAAAAAATCATAGTATAAAAGTTTAAAAATTTGTCCTCACTTTGGTAGGAATACCGATATAGTAGTAGTAGTAGTAGTAGTAGTAGTAGTAGTAGTGGAAGTAGTAGTAGTAGTAGTAGTAGTAGTAGTAGTAGTAATAATAATAATAATAATAATTCTATTATGATTAATAATTCTATTAATAATAGTAATTCTACCAGTAACCACTGGATAGATTACTTCTATGATTTTAAGTAATTTATGAGAGACCAAAGCCTTTTCAAGCAATGTAATGGCCAGCCTTGGATTAGTCTACGATTCTTTAAAATTAAACCGACAGAAATTATGATGATAATACAATTACTGATTTTTTAAACATCTGGCTCACTATGTGTTTGCTTATAGAAAGGTGTTGGCACAGTAATTAAATTTCGACGAGATCCATACATAGCATATGTCCTGTTTTTTATTCAGAGGTTGTCTGCCAAAAAGCTTTCAATAACGTTCGATCTTGTTGCTGCCGGTTTCTTCCGTAACTTGTTGCTTAACATTACAATGAATGCCTAACCTCCATCTCTCTCAACTTCCTTTCATTTTTCTAGTTTTTTACAGATTTATCTAATCCATTCTGTCGAATCACATGTTAAAACAATTTATTATCAGCACGGGATTACTTTCATTTTCTGACAGAACCACAAATCAGCTATTTCTATTTTGTATTCCATTTTCTTGCTATTTTCTTCCATTTTCTTGCCATTTTCTTGTTTCTGAGCTGTGCATCAAATTTGCCCAAACATTATTTGGTAAATGTTTGTATTAATTGTTTCATTTATTCAATCAATCTTTACTGTATATATACTTTGTAAGGGGATCCACCATGAATTGTGTGCTGCGGATACAAAAGCAATTGCAAATTATATCTGAATTTTTAAGGGTTGGTTGAAATAATTATTATATCATTTTATTGATCTAGCATTTTGCCTGCGTAACTGATGCTCTGTGGGTATCAACTACAAGGGACCACGTACGGTATCTTATCAAACATTCTGTGTCTTCTTCTTCCTTTTTTTTTTTTTGGTTCCGGTATTTTCATTGTTTGGTCCTTAGCTAGCAGACTGCTAAAATGGAATTTTGCAACTTTAAAATTGTTTCATGAACACTCAAATTTGAAATTTTACTGTATTCTACTCAAATCCTAGAGACAGATCTACAGACATTATCTTCTCTAGACATTGGCGAGTGAATCTAGAATAATATATAC